TTCCATCTAGTACTGGATGAAGGTTCTATGATGACAATTAGGGTGGTCACCAATCTGATTACAGGGGAAGGCCAGTTCATGCACCCTCTCCATTATTGCTAGGAGTCTTAGCTAGGGTCATCCTTGTGAGGTCCTGGGAGTTTCCCTGGTACCAGGTTACTCCCTAAACCCATAATGACCTCCTCTGTCAAGAAATCTCTCTCATTATTCTTCTTCATCTCCCATTCCCCATCCCTTCTTCTCTACTCCCCCCCCCCAGTTTACCCAGGACATATCATCTATTTCCTCTTCCCAGGACCCTCTTAAGGTCCTCCTTGTAACCTAGCTTCTCTGGGGCTGTGGACTGTAGCCTGCTTATCCTTTGCTTTATGTCTAATATCCACCCACCCCCAAGCTCCCAATTTTTGCCTGGCAATCTTGTCTACTTCCAATATCCAGGAGGATAACTATATGTTTTTCTTTGGGTTCACCTTCTTATTTAGCTTCTCTAGGATCCCAAATTATAGGCTCAATGTCCTTTATTTATTGCTAGAATCCCCTTATGAGTGAGTGCATACCATATTCATCTTTTTGGGTCTGGGTTACCTCACTCAGGATAGTGTTTTCTATTTCCATCCATTTGCATACAAAATTCAAGATGTCATTGTTTTTTACTGCTGAGTAGTACTCTAATATCCACTTATAAGTGAGTACATACTGTCTTTCTGGGTCTGGGTTACTTCACTCAGGATAATTTTTGTCTAGTTCCAACCATTTGCCTACATATTTCATGATGTCATTGTTTGAGCTTGTGGAAGGTCATAGACTCTGCATGGACAGCCAAATCATTCCGGTCCTGTTTGGTGTCTTCTGAACTTTGCCCTAATCTCTTCTGTTTCATTCTTTCTTCTCTTATTTTCATACAATTGAAACACTTTAAACGTATTCATTTGTTTTCTATTTTTTTATATTTTATATCCTTTCATTTACGTTCATGACTGATTACCTTAAATGTTACCATATATATTTGACAATCTCCTTTCTATTCCCAAATCTTCTAAGAATGTGTTAATTCACATGTTTTACTTCCTCCTTTCATATAACTTGTTCTAATTAGTTTTTCTAACTTATTCTTCTAGTCTTTGTTAGCCACTTTTAAAGCTTTTGAATGCATGTGCCAGTACTTGTGCTTGCCGTTCATTTCCTTTTACATATTCATAAGACTTTCATCTTCAATTATAGGAAGATATTCTTTTAGAAGTCCTTTTGAGAGGGCCTACTTAATTATTTACTTATATTTGTGTATAGAGAATATACTTCATGTTAGGTAGAGTTTAGATACTGAACAGAAAGAGTTTCTACTATAATGGAATTTCCAGCTTCTTGGAGTGAAAGAAATAGTAAACAAAGGCATATTTTGTCAGTGCTATGAAAAAAAAACTAAGAGTCAGGAGAAGAAGGATTCCTATTTGTTGATGGTAAGATGATCAAAGAATTTCTTTTTGCTGTACAGTCAAATGAGACTGAAGGCTGTGAGGAAGTCAGCCATAAGAAAACCCAAAGTTAGAATGCTCCTTGAGTACTAAATACTCTGCCTTACTTTACTTATGTAAAATTAGCTTTATTCTGATGTAGCTCTATCAGCTATAAAATTCTGGAGAAATGGTTATTTCTTTTTCCCTTTGGCATTTCCAAGATAAATTTTCATTGTCGTTTTTTACTTGACTTGTTACCTTTAAGATGTCTGATGTCAATCATATTGATAGCTCTTTGTTTATCTCCTTTTTGGTATTCTTTGAGTCTGCTTTGCTCTCTATTTTAATGTATTGACTTTGGATCTCATTATGGTTCTTGAACCTAAGGATGCCTCTTTTTTCAGCAGTTCTGGGAAAGTTCACCCATTAGTAGATTGAAGATTGTTCCTCCCTCATTTTCTCTATTCTCTTATGTTTAGAATTTTCAAGAATCTATCCTGAACCCTTCTCCTTTATTCATGTTAAAATAGTAGGAAAACTTTGTCCTCATGTTTTCCACTGTTTATCTATCTGAAATGCAAACTCAACAGTTTTTCCTCATGTATATTAATCTCTCTTCAGTAATATCAATTCTACTTTGCTTAAATTTTTCCTGATAACTCATTTTCTTCTACAGTGTATCACTTAAAATAGGTCTTTTTTAAACCTAATTTTATTTCTCTCTCTTCTGAACATTATATTGTATGAAATCTGTGGAGTGAGTCTAATTTGGTTTTATGCTGTATTAGACAATTGACCATTTCCTTAGGTGTTTTGTTGTGGATTACAATATTCTTTTCACCATTTACAGTGTTGTCCTTCCAGAGTTTTTGTGACGTCTCCTCCTTTGGCATCTGAGACCAATTTTTATGTTAATTACTCGATTTGAAAGTTTTAGAATAAGCAGAAAATGTATATTCATTTGAACATAAATCCAAGATTAGATAAGGCTTAATTTCAATAGAAATATATTTCCTTTTCTTCTACCCACTTCCTTTTAGAACTTTTGTTCTGCCTTACAAATCTTATCTAATTCACCCCTTTTGCTGAGGTTGGAGCTTTTCAAGACTGTGGCTTTATGTGGGAGTCTAGTTCTAGTTTATAGACTGGCAGAGGTCCAGTTTATACCCGTTGACCTAATTCTTTATAAAGCTTTTGGTCTCTCTCAAAAGTATCCCAGTTCAGGCAACAAATTGTAGGATCTTCCCATTCGTAGGCAGGGATGTGAATGGGATCCTGGAGGAAGAAAAGAACCAGACTGTTTAATTGACAGAAAAGATCTCAAACATGAAGGGAACAGGCAGCAATGTATGTCAGGGAAGATTTATTCAAAGTATGATCAGAAGTAGCTAGTGGATTGGATTTTCATATACTTCTAGCTGCTATTTCATTTTTTTTAACCTGGCTAGTGGAAAGATATCTCTGTGCCTTTTGTCCTTGTTTTAAAGTTTAATTTTCCTCAAAATAATATCAAAAATCAAATTCAAAAGTATTTGGCAAAACTACATGTATCATTCTAGTTGTCAGTCACTATTCAAATGTAACTAATTTAATAATTTTAAAAAGCATACCTTTAAAGTTTGACTAAAATTTAATAAAAAGAACATAAAATCTGTAAAATATATTTTAAAAGTCAAAATGATTTTTGTGCATTCAAATAGCCTTTCAATGCTTAAATTTATGGAAACCTTTAGTTCTTATATATTATGGATATATGTAAAATATTCATATTGACATTCTCATTGTATTTGAATAATTTTTCCTTTTTTGACCCTAGTGATTTTTCTTTCAAAAATATTTCAATTTTGTAGAAAGATTTTTTTTTTACAAAATAAAATATAATAAGATGTTATAGGAGGGCCCACTTATTCATCCCGACCACCCAGCACTGAAATAACCACACAGAAACTATATTATTTAAATCACTACTTGGCCATTAGGTCTAACTTCCTATTGGCTAACTCTTACATATTAATTTAACCCATTTCTATTAATCTGTATATCACCACGAGGTTGTGACATATCAACAAAGTTTCAGCATGTTTTTCTCTGGCAGCAGATCCATGGCATCTCTCTGACTCTGCTTTCTTCTTCCCAGCATGTCATTTAGTTTTCTCCACTTAGCTCTGTTCCCCTACAGCTCTGCTATAGGCCCAAAGCAGTTCCTTTATTAGCCAATGAAATCAACACTTAGACAGAAGGACCTCCTACACCCATAAGATACAACAAAAACTATTACATTGAAGTTGGACAAGCCAAAACAAAAGGAAAAGCACCCCAAATACAGGTCCTGTGATTGACACCTCAATCTCTGTGAGTTCATATGAGCTTTTCTCACGTTGATTTAGAGGGCCTGTTCTCTTGGTGACCTACATCTCCCCTGGCTCTTACAGTCTTTATATCTCCCTTCTGTTGAGTTCCATGAGCTCTGAAATAGGGATGTCCTCTTTAATGACTAGTCAAGGATTTGGTTGGAGCTTGTAATCAGAAGTAGGGATTTATATTCTCAGTGGGTTTCTTGCTTTAAGAATGTGACCAGCAGTTGTAGGTCATGTTCTTGTTGAACTTTTGTTGTGACACATTAATCTAATAAGATGTTAGAGTTTTGCCAATTAAGTTGAAAGATTTGGTTCATTTAAACAGCTGCCACCTCACAAACATCACCCAGCATGTTTGAGCTGGTGGAAGACTGCTCTAGTTTTTAAAACCTGCTTTTTACTGGAACATAAATTTATGGGTAGTCCAACAGTCTGCCAGTATTTAAAGTAGAAATATACTCATTGTTTGGGGCCAATTCCTTCTGTGGCACTCTTCCTTCCAGCAGTATTCACACCCAATATTGTAGATTTCCTGCTAACTTGGCCAGCAATGTTGTGTATGCCAAGAGAATTCTAGATTTGGAGATCGTGTATAAGAAATTGAGAGTGGGGAGATTGAGAGAGAGAAAGAAAAGAAAAGAAAAGAAAAGAAAGGAAAAGCAAAGCAAACAAGCTGGGGAAATTTCTCACTTAGTAAAGAGTTCACTCCATATGTATGAGGACCTGTTTTAATCCCTTGAACACATGTAAAAAGCTGGGGCTCAGAAAAAGTTGCATTAAAGTATATGGTTTTATTTTATGGTTATGGTTGTAATGACCTTTAATGTTCATATGAGATCATTCATCAATAAAGACAAAGAACGCTGTTTTTTACTAGAGCTATAATAGCACAAAGAAGAAAAGTATTGTGCTCAGCCTGTATTGTACATAGGCCAGTGTTGGCAATGGCTTTTCTAGTAAAATATGTTAGATATATGATTAGATATATGTATCATTATTAATTTTATTTCTATTGGTTAGCACGGCAATAATTTTTAGTTATTATCATTTGTCATACTCACTAGTAACTACTTCTAGTAGACTCCTCTATATCACAGAAAATATTTTGATTAATATTTGCCAGTGGCATTGTTGATCCCCATCAGAATCCTACTGAAACATTACTTCTCTCTTGCTTTTTCTGTTCTAGGAATATACTATTGATGTATTTTTTAGACAGACATGGCATGATGAAAGACTGAAATTTGATGGACCTATGAAGATCCTTCCTCTGAACAATCTTCTGGCTAGTAAGATATGGACTCCTGACACCTTCTTCCACAATGGCAAGAAATCAGTGGCTCACAATATGACCACACCCAACAAGCTTCTCAGACTGGTAGACAATGGTACCCTCCTCTATACAATGAGGTAAGAGAGTGGTAACCACCACTCAGAATATTTTGGACCTAGGACTTTTATTGAAAGTAGAAAGTTTTAGGTTATACACTGAAAATTCCTTTGGTTTATCAACAGACACAAAGATCTTATATTTTAATATATACTCAGTAAAATATACATATATATGAATTCAATAGTTTTATATACATAGTATTCTTTCCAGTTTATAGATTGTATAGTATGTATTTTGAAAAACATATGTGCTATGTATTGTACATACATATTGATGCATAAGGACACTTTTAACACATTTATATGTATACACACAAGCATACATATTCTATATTCCATATAGTTACACATACAAACATTCTGAGACACAAAGAAGTATAATTTTTAGTGTATAAATATGTACATCTTCAGAGACTTATATGTATGAACAGAGGCACATATGTGTTCAAGAACACCTAACTGCATAAACTTACAAAATAATTGAAGAGTCATAAGCACTATGAGCATAGTACTTTTAAATGCAGTAGCAAAGCAGCACCGTGACTGAGTTATAAAAAGCAAAAGAGATGTTGATAGATATTCTCTAGAACATTTAAAATAAAAAATTGTTATGTTTCATTGCCTGGGGTATAGAAGTTTGATATGAGTAAAATTTCCACATAAGTTCATAGTACACATATCATTGAAATATAAAATGTATACCTTTATACCTTCATCCCAATGTACAAAAACTGCATAGCTTTATGTTTCATGCTTATCATTATCATTTGAGTGACTGAATGTTATGGTAGGTAGAATAAGAATGCCCCCATATGCTTATATCGTTGAATACTTAGTCACCAGGGAGTACAACTGTTTGGAAGGATTAGAAGGATTAGGAGGTGTGGCCTTGTTGGAGTAGGTATGACCTTGTTGGAGGAAATGTGTCGCTAGGGATGGGCTTTGGGTTTCAGGTCCATTCTTTGTCTGCTGCCTATGAATCAGCATGTAGCTCTCAACTACTGCTCTAGTGCTATGCATCCTGACATGCTCCCCAGCATGATAATGGGCTAATCTCTAAAAATTTGAGTAAGCCCCCAATTAAATGCTTTCTTTCATAAGAGCTGTCTTGGTCATGTTGTCTCTGCACAGCATAGCAATAGAACAGTGACTAAGATAGATGTCATAACATTTTGATGTCAAGAAATAATATTCTTTGCTCCAACAAAGAAACACTTTCTTGGTTCTTGTGCTTTCTGTTTGTATTTTTAATAGCTTTACTGTTAACAGTTTTTAATCCCTGAACCCTGTGCCCATATTAATGATTGTCAATTTTGAGTTATTGTGATAACCTGTATCTATCAGGTAGATGTAAACTTTCAATGTAGATTCATCAAACACTCTACACCTGCTACTGCAGTAGTCTAAGTGGGTTCTTGTAGTGGCATTTCATTTGCATTTTAATAAATAAAGATTGCCTGAAGATCAGAGAGTAAAACAGCCCCACTGCTCAGCCTTACAGACCAGGTGACACACACCTTTAATTCCAGTAGTCACACTCGTTTGTCATAGAAACCGGCAGTGCATGCCTTTAATCCCAGCCCTAGAGAGGAATATAAAATGGGAGGAGACAGCTCACAGACACAGTCTCATTCTGAGATTCCTGTAGGCAGAATAGCCATTTTGGGCTGAGGTTGAGATAAGAGCCAGTAGCTGGCTGTTTTACTTTTCTGACCTTCAGGTTGAATCTCAATTTCAGTCTCTTAGTTTTTATTAATTGTGCTACAGGTTCTGCTACCATACAAGCTGGCAACAGACCTTTATAGTTTATATGTGATGCTACTTTGTAGGTATGAAGAGTGCAAAGGTCATGAGACCATTCAGACCTTTCAAAGAAAAGACAGGGAGACCAGGAGATATATAGCATGGTCAAATTCCCTGGGAATCCCCGAGAAGGAGTTATGCGTAGCTGTGGGAGTGAAGCTGAGAATACAGGAATTTAGGCATGCCAGGAAAATGCAATGTCTGCTGAGGAAAATTGCTGGAAGTCACTAGATCCAGACCAAGGAAGTAACCTTATATACTGTAACTGGAAAGTTAGTAAGATTCAAGGCTGCCTGAGTCCTTTCTGTTCCTGAGATTCTAAACATAGAGGTATAGAATTTAACGTACCGAGTTTTGATCTATTCATTTGCCAAATTCCTCCCTTCTCCACTCCATTTCTCCTGTTTTGAAATGGCAATGCTTTATGTTTCATTATACATTGAAAGCTTTTTAAAAATATCTTACAGGAGGTCAAAGTTAAGAGTTAGGTCTCTTTCAGTGGTGTTCAAACTGAAGGGAAACAATTGATGTGGTTTGGATGGAAGTGAGATGTATAGTGTTAGGTGGAATTATGATCTTGCCATATTTTTCTTTGCAGGCTAGATATGACTTGAGGAGATGTATTTGGGTGTCAAAGTTAACAAGGCATGGACTTGTGATGAATAATCTTGATGGGTATCTTGGTTGAAATTGAGGAGGGACTAGGAGAGCGGTAAAGCACACCTCTGTGTATAGGCTGAGTATTCTCAAAAAGAAAACAAAAATGAACTAAGGCAAATATTGGTTTCACCAATCCATAAAATGATTGGTATTATAAAAAACCTTGGTACTATAAATGTTGATAGATATGTTAAAAGATTGGATCACTTTTAAAAGTATCAGCGGTGCCCTTTACAGTCATCAGCATCAATATCATATGAACATGGTGCTTGCCAGTGTTCTAGTCACTGAACATTTATAACTACCTTAAGGTCTAGAGACTATTATCTCTACCTTAGAGATGAGTAAACTGAGAAACTGGAGAAAAATGGGGATGTATAATGCTTACCCAGTAGTTATAAAGGTCAGGTTCTATTTGCTATAAATGGGGAGTCTAGCACATATTTGTCAGATAGCAGAAAAGAGCAGATAGGTAAACACTGAGGACACTGCAGAAATAACATTTTTGTGACAGAGAAAAGCACATGGGTTTGCATCAAAAATACAGTTAGGTTTTTTCACTCTATGTGAAATATATATGCTTAAAAGGAGGTAGGGCAAATAAGACAGGTGGGATATACGAATGCACATGATGCAAAAGAAGAATTTGGAAATAATTAGAACATCAGAATAGGAATAGATAGAAGAGAGTCACAACTCTAATAAGGAGAGGAAGGAAAAGAGTTTGGTAGTACATTGTATTTAAATCCATTGTGGAAAGAACAGAGTAGAGTATATGTGAGCAGAAGACAAGATAATGAAATGAGGTAGAAAGAATGATAAACTGGGTATGTGCGTTGTTAAAAATGTGAATAATAAGAGAACCTAAAGGAGAAGAGAGTGATGAAAATAGCAAAGGAGAATATGAGCAGTGAAAGAAAAAAAGGGTTTGGGGCCTAGAGAGATGTTTCAGTTGTTAAGATTGCTTTCTGTTCTCAATTCAGTTTCTAGGACCCCTGTCCAGCACCTGCAATTGCCTGTAGCTCCAGAACGTCTGACACCCTCTTCTGGCCTCTACCAGTACTGCACTCAAATGTTCCCCTCTCCCAGTCTCTCTCCTCTCTCTTTCACACATACATAAATAAAAATAAATCTTATAAAAAGAAATATTAGATCACTTAGATAATACATATTTGAGCTTTAGAGGAGAGGGAGGCAGAAAAGAAAAGGGAGAATGTAAAAACTGAACTATGAAGCAAGAACATGAGGATGTATCTTGAGAAGTGCCAAAGGTGAAGCAAAGCAAATGATTAGTCACCAGAAAGAAGATGATTGCTATTGAGGTCTCTGTGCTCTGAATCAGATGAGAAAGTAAGGATTTATGAGCTTTGTGTATAGGCAGAATGCCTTTATGCTTATGTTGAAGTATGGTATCCAAACAGAACAGAAGTACAGAAGGTTGATTAAACCATTATTTTCCTAGCACAGCAGAGAGTATACCTTAGATCCCAGAACGTGGGTGGGAAGGTGGACAGAGAACCAAAACTCGGAGATAAAATCTTGGCTCTTTTTATGGCTCCACAAGTGAGTCATCTAGTGACCTTCACAAGTCACAAGCTGTTTCTTTTCTTCAGATCTTCGTTTAATAACACTAGCTGCTGCCTGCCTTGCAACAACACAGAAAAGAGAAATTGAAAAAGGCCTGCAGATCATCTAGACACTCTCAGAAAGACTCATTCTGTAGCACTCTTATTTATTGTTATTATTATTCTCATTCTGTAGCACTGTTGTTATTACAACCCCATGTGGTGACCTGGCATCCTGCCAGGGTTATCTTCTCTGGTAACTAAATCATTCAAGGCATGTGTGTGCCCAAGGCAATTAAAACCAGTCTGAACTCTGTAGACAAGTAATAGTGGCATATAATGTTTATTTCCTTTATTTTGGACTCCATGAGTAAACTTCAGAGGATAACTCCTTGGAAAAATTGAACCAGGTCTCTCATGAGTATATAACTGGGACAGTTGTGGAACTTTGCTATACCTCATCTTGGAACTTCAGGATGACCAGGAAATGCAGGCTGAGCCCTATTACCCTCAGCAGCACACATACTAAAATTGGAACAACACAGAAATTTCACAGAACTAGCTCAACATGATATACGCATTTATAAACTATTCTAAACTGCCCAAGATAGAGTAGTGTACCCTTTCTTTATTAATGATATAATAATATTTATTCATATAATAACATGTTATTGATGATGAAACAAAGGATAAATATGTAATATTGATATTAACTGATAATAATATAGTAAGAATCCTATTGAGCTTCTGAATAGGATGGAAAATACTCATAAAATTTAACTAGATTTTATTCCGTTGAATCATCTGCCTAACAACATATCTATAAGAACTTAGTATGTGTAAGACTCTGAGATGTACCACACTACAGAGATAAGTAAGGAATCACTTACCTCTTAAAGACTTCATAGTATTGTATGGGCTGGAAAGATGTCTTTGGTTGCCATCTTTGGAAAGAGCACTGGTTGCCCTTCCAAAGGATGCTGATTCAAT